ATAAGCACCTGCTTTGAAATACTACCCTTCAAACTGAGCAGCTCCAGCTCCTGTTGCCAGAGTACCTCAAACTTCTGGGATTATTATCGAGCGCAGCCTCCAGGACTCTCAGTCCCCTCTCAAACTCAAAGCTCCAGAGCTCCTTGAGGGAGCTGCTCAAGGTTTTGCCCACTTGCCCATCAAAAGCACTTGCCCATCATCTCTGTGTGTCTGACCAGCAGACACAAACAGATTCCTCCAGGGCAATACCCTCAGGGAAACTCTTTCACCTCTAAACCACCATCCTCTTTACTTCTTTCACATCTTCCCCACCTGACCAGACTACTCAGCACCCTGTGCTTTAGATACTTTGCTGGCTACTAACTACAACTTCCTATTTCAGGCCTACCACACAACTGGTACCTCCCATAGCCCTCCTATTCATTGTCCCCTGCACGCCCAAAGGCTCTTTGCCTTTCTCTTCCTTGCCTGCCAGCAGTACCACAGGCTAAGATACTCTCCCTTCACTCGCATTGCTCAGGCTTGCCACTACAGGGCCTTCTCCAAACTCAGACAAGCAGTTAGCGCAAAAGTCCTGCTCAGCCCCTCTGCCTGCAGGACTGTTTCAAAACAACACCACAGGTTTGTCACAAACACATTTGGAAGAGGAGTGCCACTGGAAAGGGAACCTTGAGAGAAAAACTCCCGGCAGCACAGCAGACATCTACTGCCAGCAGCCAGTGAGAGTTTCCAAAGACTCCTTCTGCAGCCACACTTGAGCGCCAGGCTGCAAGGCCAGCGAAAGGCACATTGCTAACAGCAGACAGCCCAAGAAATAAGAACATACTTTGAGCACAGAGCTCCAAGGCGGGGCTGGTTCTCACTGGGATAGAGTGAATTTTCTCCACACTAGCTTGGATGGGGCTATGTTTGGGATTTGTGCTGAAAACAGTGCCGATAACACAGGGATGTTTTCGTTACTGCTGAGCAGTGCTTACACAGTGTCAAGGCCTTTTCTGCTCCTCACACCGCCCCACCAGCAAGCAGGCCGGGCGTGCACAAGAAGTTGGGAGGGGACAAGGCTGGGACGGCTGACCCCAACTGACCAAAGGGATATTCCAGGCCACAGGACGTCACGCTCAGCAATAAAACCCAGGGAAGAAGTACGAAGGGGGGACGCTCGGAGTGATTGCGTTTGTCTTCCCAAGTAACTGTCACTGCTTTCCTGGAGATGGCTGAACACCTGCCCACCGATGCCAAACAGTGAATGAACTCTTTTATTTTGCTTTGCTTGCGCACACGGCTTTTGCTTTACTTATTAAACTGGCTTCATCTCAACCCACCAGTTTTCTTACTTTTACCCTGCCCATTCTCTCCCTCATCCCACTGTGGGGCAGTGAGTGAGCGGCCCTGTGGGGCTCAATTGCTGGCTGCGGTTAAACCACTACAAAGGCTCTAGAGCTTCTCAGTTAAACACTTGGAAAATTTCCAAATACTGTCAGTAAAAGCAGCCTCTTTTTCCACTGAAGCACAAAACCCACACACGGCAGTGACACAGGAGCGTTTTTTTCAGCTCACGTCACCCTCTCAGGCCAATGCCCAGCCTGTGCAAGTGCAGTAGCAGCTCCCTACACCCCACGCTTTCACAGCCAGGGAAAGAGGCAGGAAATGAGCAGCCCCCAACAGCTGAATTGAGGGCCTCGTATTAACTCACTGCTCCAGGCGGGCATCAAACTGCAGGGTGACTTTGCAGCTTTAACATGCTTACCTCTTCAAGTTGCCATACCGCATTTGAAACTTGTACACCAGCCTGCCTGCATGAAGAAACCTTGTTTCGGGCAACGGATAGGTAAACGGCTTCAACGACATCTTTCTCTCTCCCTGAACGCCAGCCTAGGGAAGCAGGAGAGGCAAAGCTCCGTTACTGCAACCCTTCGCCAGATCTCTCCTACAAGAAGAAAGGAGGACAGGCAGTTTTTCCCCTCGAGGACAGACTGCCCACCAGTATCTCCTCCGAGGCAGAAGGTCGTGCCCGTGAAGCAGGGTATGTCTGAGCAGGATCAGAGGACAGACTTGGAGCTGATGGCTACCTGCCTTCAGCTGCCCTGCTCTGGAAATGGCACCACCAACCCCCCCGAGGCTTCCCAGGCCTCTTGCCCCGGGGGCTGCCAAGAAAGCCCGGCCAGCACCGCGTCGCAGCCCGGGACCGAGCCCAGGCTGTGCGGGACAGCCCCGGCTGCTGGGGGGCCCGGCGGCCCCTGCGCCTGCAGCCCGGAGCAGCTCCTTTCTCTCCACAGCCGCACGGCTCCCCCGGGCCCGCCCGCCCCCGCCCGGCAGCCCCCCCCGGG